ACTGCCCTTGCTGCCGGGGTCTGAACCCCCAACCCCAAGCCCAGGCTCCGTACACTCCTAGCAAGACCAGAGGCTGTGGCCGCCTCCCTCAGGAACAAGTGTGCTCAGGGTGCTGGGTCCTGCCTCTTCCTGCTAGACAGAGCCCAGTGGTCTGGGCACCCTGCCAAGATGAGGCTCACAGATAAGAGCTCCAGGGGCCTGGGAGCCTGGTGATGGTTATCCTCACCAGGTTACATCAGACTTAGATTCGATAACCAGTGCTAATAGCTGGCAGCACTTGGCACATAGCAGGCTCTCCATGAACTGCAGCTTCATCGGCAGTGCAGTTTCTGTGATAAGTGCTGTCACAGCTGTGCCTTGTGCTAGTACAGACGGCATGAGATCGAAGAGTTGAACAGCAAGCTGGGGCTGTCAGGCCCTTGCTGGGCAGCGGCCTCTTGCCAGGCCTGGGCTAAGGAAGTGTGCCCCTCTTTTAACCACAAGGCCACTCTGCTTTGCACAGGCACTGGTCCATCTCACAGTCAGGTAGAAAGCACATAAACCAAGGCTCAGCCTGAGTTTTGACTCTGCCATTAGGCAAATCATTGAACCTCTTTAGACAAATGTTCCCACTCACACAGTAGGCATCAAACGAGAAAATGAAAGATCTGTCAGAGTGCTAAAGCCCTCCTCAAATGAGGCAGAGATTTGCTTGTCTTGGCAACAGTCTTGATGCTCAAGGGTGGACCTGGCCATTCAGTTCTTTAGCTACAGGACTCTCAGGACTTCACGATAGTGGAAAAAAAGAGAAGATTGTAGAGCGATTCCAGTAATGAGTCAAAATAGCACATGCGAGAGGGATGAGTACAAGAGTGGGGTGTGTATCCCCAAACTTAAATCTCAACTCGGTCGCCTCTTAGTGTGGTGAAATATTTTGACACAGCATGTCAGCTTGCTAGTCAGTAAAACGGGCATAGTTTAAGACAATCTACATATACCAGAGCTCTTTGTAACTTAACAATGTCACCAAGAGTGTGTGGGTGTATGCTTTGTCCCTGCCAGTGACAGAGGTGACGGAGCTCCCCGCTCCACACCAGCCCTTCCCCGGGGAGATATTCCCTTTTTGGACTAAATAAATTTCCAGTGACTTAAATAGGAGCTCTGGTGACCTCTTATTTAGCCATCATACCCTTTCTTGCCTGCTACCTCTCCTTACCAGGAAGAGAATGGACATGAGATCCCTACAGGACTTGGGCTGGGCCCTTTGTGCCCGTGAACCAGCCCTGACCTTCCCTATGTTGAAATTTCACGTTGACTTTTTTTCAGTGTAGCCGGAGGTGTGCATGCGCGCATGCGTGTGAATGAAGGGGCGGGATCTGCAGCAGACTGCAACCTGCCCGGGTCTCACGCTGCCAGGAATGGACCTGTCCACCCACCTGGGGGAGGAGAACTGGGCTGGAGCCCAGAAGCCCTAACAGATGCAGCTCCAATTTAGCAACAAGAAGAAGTCCTCTCCAAGGCAACCCAGGCGATCATACCGCCCACTGGGCAGGACTAAAAATACACCCGCGTGGTTTAACGTCACACCTGAAGTAAAAATATACTCAGCCAGGGCTGCTGGCTTGCCCCCCTCCCCAGTCTCTTCTCTCCATCTGGTGCCTCCGAGGCAAGGAAAAGCAGTGGGCAAGCACCTTTCTTCACACTTTCTGCCCTCTCTCTAAGGTCCTGTCACCCCTCCCCACACACATCCTCCCACTGGGCCCCAAAGGAGACAAGGTCCTTTTGTTGCAACGGTGGCTAGAAGCTGCCAGATGGCCAATCTGATCCTGGTCCCCCAGTATGGATTAGCCTGGAGTTACTTGAGGATCCTGTCTCCAAGCGTGCATTCCCACAGTCCTTGCTTTCTGCAGTCGTTTGTTCGTTCCCATTCACTGATCCATCAAAGCTTACTGACTCCTGCTCTGTGCCTCATACTGTACCTACCTAGAGGGGTTCAGGAAAAGGAGCTGAGGTCCCCTACTGCAGATAGTGAGGGGAAAAGATCTGCACACAAAAACCTGCGGCTACTAGAACGTAACAAGTGTCCTAGAGAAATAAAAATAAATCCTTACTCACAGTGATCCTTTTGGGTAAAAGAAAATAAAGTTTCGAGTTCTGAAAAATGGTAAGGCCTCCCCCCATCCCCTATTTCTAGGCTTCTATTTGAATTGGTGCATGGGCACATCTTCCAGCTGAATGAGTCAGGGGAATGGGAAGGTAAAGTTATTGGAGCGGACGGTGTCACTGTGGCTCTGAATAAGGAAGGCACCCACACGCCATTCCAAGGGACTGCAACTTTGGCAGCTTTCTGAGTGCCAGGCACACTCCTTGTCCCCCCACTTAATCCTCATGAGAGCCTGCACGGGAGGTGTTATCCCTGTCAAACAAAGCAAGAAATTGAGTCCTCAGTCTGCCCAAAGTCACACAGCTGTCTGTCTTCTAAATCAGTGCTTATTTCAGAAGCTCCCTGCTCCCCACCCTACGTCGCCTGTGAAGTCCAGAGAAACTCAAGCATTTCAAGCGGCAGCCGGAAGGGGGCAGTAGTTTCTCTTCCGGACAGAGCTACGTGGCGGGGGATCTCAGAGTGATGGCCCTTGGGGCTGTGTTCTGGAGATGGTTAGAAGGAACATGGAGGGATGCAGGTTGTTCAGGAGAAAGGAATGGCTGGAGCGCAAGTGTGGAAGTCAGAGGTTAAAATACAGCACAAGAAGTGCAGATGGCTGGGATGTGGGAGCACACCTGTAATGCCAACTCTCAGGAGGCTGAGGCAGGCAGATCACTGTGATTCGAGGCCAGCCTGTGCTGTACAGTGAGAGCCAGTCTCAAAGCAAAATACCCAACATCTCCATGCACTCAAGGCCAGCCTGGGAGCTGCATAGAGTTCAAGGCTGGCCTGAACTATATAGTGAGACCCGGTCTCAAAAAACAGTGACAGCGTTGGGGACACCATGCTGTCCCTCACACTCGCCACTGAACCCGTCCAGGACAAATACTAAAAAGAGGCTGACGGTTCATCATGATAAGCCTGGAGTGTCCTCCTCAGGAGTGCTGCCTTGACTCCTCAGCCTCCAGGAGAAAGTTCTCCAGAGTCTGCAGCACAGGTACTCACTGCCTTCCAGCAGGGGAAGATGCCCAGGACAGGCTGAGGAGCTGTCCTGGAGAGGGTGTTCTAGGATACTGGCTCTGGTTCTGTAATTCCAGTGGTCCTTGGCCTGGGACATTAGAAATAAAGGACCAAACCCCGGCGCCTAGACAGAGGTCTAGAAAGGTGGGCAGTTTGATAGCCACTTTGTGTCCGTGGACAGTACAAGCCCCAGCTCAGCACCAGCAGATGAACATCCTCCAGAGCAGACTGACCCTGAACAGGCCTCTCTTCCCACTGGATTCATCCTTCGAAATCTCCATCTCCTGCACACATTCCGCCTCCTGGATCATCATCCTTGTCCCACTCAGGAAGGGTTGAAGACGCTGACTTTCCTGTCCCCCTAGAGGAACCCAGGCCCTCTGGAGTGGGTAGGCACTGATGCTGGGGCTCCCCCTGTCCACCTACCAGGAGGACAGGTCTGGGCTGTGAGGGGCATCACATGAGAAGCTGAGGGCTCCAAGGGCAGTTGCAGGGAGAGGAGGTGGACACTCAGGCAGGCAACCACACACTTGGCTGGACCCGTAATTGAGGTCTATAGTCCTGCCAAGGTCACAAGGGAGGAGATGGAAGGGACAGAGTGGCGTGACTGTGAATCAGAAAGTTTATCACCCAGAAAGAGTGCTCAACACTAATGTCTCCCCTGCCCGGGACCCCCCTCAACCCCCCACCCCAGTCTGTTTCTGACCACACATCTCTTCTATCTGGTTCTCTTATTTTTTCTTAGCCTCTCCAAAGCTCTATATTTTTGCATTCTTTGTTGTTTTTTGTTCATCTCTGTTTCTACTCCCCCATAAGCAGGAAGAAATGTTTTAAATTCAAAACAAAACACAGCCAGGTTGTCCAGGGAGGAAGGAAAGGAAGTGGGAAAAGTATCTGCTGTCTGGAGTCCTTTTGACAAAAGGACATGAGCTGAGCTACACCGGGGAACTTGTGGTTACCTAGGAGTATAAAAATCCCCAGGGAAGTTCTGATCTCCTCCCCAGAAGGCCTTTGAAAATGTTGGGGACACTTAACAGCCCACTTCGTGCTAAGATGCTCTGTCGTGAGGTAGGGAGGGATGAGATGGGCCCTGTTGAATTTCACAAATGTACTCTCAGAAGCGTCACCAGAGATGGGGTGAGCACCCAGAAAAATCTCCTGATCCTGACTTAGGGAAGTTCTTCATCGTGGGGTCTCAGCCTGTCTGTTGCTTAGAGAGAGGATGCCGGGACCTGTGAAGGACTTCAACCCACATCCTGTCCTGTCTTGAATCTGCTTTCCTGGGGAACGGCCCCATACACCTTGGCCCCGCACTGGGCTTTCCAGACCAGCAGATTTGGGTGATACAGCAAACGTGAAGGCAAAAATGTCAGAAGTAATTAAACCAAACGATGGCTCAAAGCCCTGTAGAAATCAACACATCCGGTTTAATCACCTTCTTAAGCTAGCACAAGGCTGCAATTCTATGGAGAGGGCTTCTTTATTTCTTTGGATCGTTAACGGGAACTGCATATCTTGAGCTTGATTTTAGTTCGGATACTCCTGGGGAGAGGTGATGAGGGTGGGGGGCTCAGAAAAGAAAAAGGAAATAATAAAACGTTATTTGAGATCGTCTCTTCTTCCCCTCTCCCTGAGCTGAGCCTCGCCTCCCTCCTGCCTCTGTCCGCTCCCAGCACCGGGCGGAGGCACAGTGCTGAATGTGCTAAATTAGGCCATTAGAGAAATTCATTTCTCTTTATTAGTCTGTGTCAAATCCTTTTTATTAGTGGCTGGAAACGACCTCTCTCTGCAGTAAAATGTCATGCCAGTTCACTCCTTTTATTTGTTCTGCACTGACGAGGCTCAAACTCTCACTGAATTAGTGCAGTGAGATTTATTTCCTCCAAATTTTGAACGGCTTAAGAGAGATTGGGGTGGAGGGGGCGGTCACGGGAGAGGAAGCCTGGGGGGACCAGGGCAGGGAAGGGACCCGGAAGGAGAGGTAAGCTGCTCGCGTGGAGGTCAAATGCCCTTAGCTCTTTGGAAGTCAAGTCCAGTGGGCATCTCTCACATCTTGTTCGTCCTCTTCTGGGCACAGGGGACTGAGTCTCCACATTCTTGCTTCTGGTTTCCACATAGAAGAGACCTGAGCAGTGGGAGAGACCTGGACAGGGGGAGAGGACCCCATGTTTAGCCTGGCATGGTGGCACATGGGTAAAATCCCAAGATTGAGTGAGGCTGAGGCAGGAGAATTGCACATTTGAGTCTCATCTGGTCAACATGGCAAGACCCTGGCTCAATGTAAAAATGACTTGGGATGTAGCTCAATGGCAGGGTCTGAGTTCAGACCCTAGGAGGAAAAACAAACAAACAAACATGTTCTATGGCTGAACATGTGACTCAGTGGAAGAACACTTGCCTAGCATGCACAAAAACCCTGGCCTCAACTCCCAGTAATATATATGCAAAGTGAGGCTCAGGAAGGCCCACGTCTAAGGGGAAATCCTTCTCCCTATCCTGTCCCCATTTCAGGCAGAGCCTTTCCTGGCCCCTGTAATTCTGAACCCATCTCTCATAGACCCTGCCTTGTCCAGGATGGTCCCACGCCTGCAGCCCAAGCTGCCGGAAAAAACTCCCAGAGGTTCCTGCCAGCCTGTTTTCTGGCTCATAGGGAGATGTTAGAGGAAAATATGGGTTGGCCCCTAGGCAAGGACAGAATGGGTAACTGAGGAAGTAGCAGGTGACTCTCCCATAACCACAGAAGGAGAGCAGCCCCAGCTCCCCTCCCCCAGCCGGGTCTCGGGGAAGGAGCCTGTATGCTGGGTACGGGGACCTTGGCTCAGCAGTCCCTATGTGTGAGGTGGCAGGTCAGCAGGAAGCAGCCAGGGTACATCAAGCAATCCAGAAGGACAGCACCAGTGGGGCGTGGTTCATGTGAGAAGCTGCGGATAAGCTCAGGTGCCCTCTGGGATCAAGGAGGCAGACAGGGCTGCTGGGGTCAGCAGGAGGAAGCGACTCTGGAGCCCAGGGAGAGCAGAGTATGAGAAGAGAGGGTCGGGGTGCAGCAGCCAGCACTGTCACCCCCCTTCTGCCCGAGTGTCTACTGCCCAGGTGGGAAGGGCCGAAGGGAGGTGGACTGGTCATCTCCATGTGGTCCATCCTTAGCTCCATGGACCCTGCATTAACCTGGGGGACAGGTGGCAATTTCCTGTCTTCCAAAAGATAGCAGAAGACATGGAAAACACCCCAAAGGGGCCAGGGGCATCACTCAGTGGTAAAGCACTTTCCTAGCAAGTGTGAGACTCTAGGTTGGGCCCCCATCACCATCAAATACACATACACACACACATACACTCACACTCACACACACACATACACACCCCTGGCTAGGGGCATCACATATCTCATGTAAACCTGTTCTGGGGACATCTGACAGGAAGTGGAGGCTTGTGAAATTGAACCCGTGCTGTGACTCTGCACAAGAGATACATTGTTCCCAGCATGTAGATGCCCCCAACCCCATGAGTCCAGCTGTCTCACACCTGCCGGGCACCTCCCGATCTGAGTCCTGCTGCCTTTTCTACCCTGTCCCCTTTGTTTCCCTCCTGTCCACCTGGCTTCAGCCACACTCAGCTAGACCGGGGTGCAGAAAGGTGCCAAGCTCACTCCTGTCTCAGGGGCTTTGCTGTCTCTCTTTCCCCAAAGGCCTTTCCCTCCGTTCTTTGCAGGGGGTTAACTTAAATGTCACCTTCTCTCAAGATGGCCCTCCATATCCACTCTCAGAAAAACTGCTCCTCCCTGTAGGGCAAGGACAGAAGAGAGATGCACCCTCCTCCTGCTGCTCCTGATGCCAGTAACTTGGAAATCAGTCCCACAGACCCACCTGCCCCTTCCACCTGCTGTTTGCACTGTGTACACAAAGCAAGCAACCCACATATATGGTCCATACAGACGACACAATGCATGTGCATACCATGTTTGTGGTACATGAATCTGCCCCACAGTTGCACACATGCCACCTTCTGTGCATCATAGAATAAACACAACATCATTTGTGCATACACCCATAGCCTTGCACCCTTGCCAGCCTGTATTCAACTCAGTGCATGCACACACATGAACACATATGTATACACACACACGCACACCCTCTCACCTTTCCACTCAGGAGCTGCCTGCCCTCCCTCCAGCCAGCAAGAGAGGGACGTGTGGTGACCATTCCGCTGCAGCAGGTCGGGGCGGGGGCTGTACCCCCACCACATGGCACGATGCTGCGGATTATTAGTTCCTGGTAATTTAGTGCCCTTGTACTGAGTCGATTTGTGCCTTTCATTCCTAATTGATCTAGTGGCTGTTTAAATGGCAGCAGGCATCTGTTGAGAGTAGGAAGGTTCATAAGGCGCAATAATTCATAACACCGTCTGAAATTTGCCTTTCATGGCCCTCAGCTAAACCACTGCCGGGCTCTGCTTAAATTACAGCCACTGAGGCTTTCTTTGGTATTCCACTCAGGGCCAGGAGAAGCTTGCATTAAACTGGGATCAGGCTAGATTAGACTATAATATGCTGCAGTATTAGTGGCTGCAAATGAAGACTTAGGCTGGAGTTTAACCCCTTCACCTGGTGCGCTCTTTGTCTTCAGCTGGGTGCTGACGCCCCCCATTGTTTTCCCTGCCAGTTTTCTGCCAGGGCCCAACAGATCTGCTGGCACTCTGGTGCTGTGAACAAGCCACCCTTAGATACTGACCCTCTTTCCTGCTGCCTTGGGGTCCAGGGGTTTTCCATCAGCACCCAGCTCGAGGGTCAAGGAGGTGGCATCCAGGGCTGACTCTGCCAAGCCCAGCAGCTCGTGTGAAGCAGGAATTTATCTCCTGCCACCTCTACTGCCCTGAGCCTGAGTAGAAAGATGTTTGAAGTATGAATATGAGTGTGAGGGCTGCCAAGCACTGCCTGTGTCTGTGCCCACAATTGTTCGAGTTTCAGAATGGGACAGGCACCTAGGGGTTCCCCTTCCCCTGCCGCAAACTGTGCAGAGTGCTCTGGGTGTTCAGTTCTCTCGGGGTCTCCAGGGCTGGAAGGGAAAAAACTGTGTTCTGTTTTCCTTTTCCATGCTTCCTGTGTTCTCCAACACGGTGGCCACCAGCCACACGTGGCCATTTCAATTTAAATTAATTAAAATTCAATAAAATTAAAAATCCAGCATCTTGATTCCAGTAGTCATATTTCAAGTGCTCCTTGGCCCCATGTGACTCGTGGTTATCGTGTTGGACAACATTTCCTTCACTGCGGGAAGTACTGCTGGGCGGTCCTGGTGAGAGTACCCTCCTGGCCAAGGCCTGGTGGGTCGGGTCCAGCACACGTTCTCCTACTCTCCCAGGAAGCAGGATTTTATCAAAAAGAAAGGAACTCAGTTTTATATGGTCCAGGAATCTGAGGAGACAGAGCAGAGAGGGATGTGTGGATCTCAAGGGAAGAGAAAGGGTCTTTCCAAGATCTCAGATCAACAGCCCAGCCACATACATGCATGCATGCTGCAAAAGTAAATATGATAGACACCTATGCATGCAAAATAAGTGTGCATACCTGTGACACAAGCATTCAACAAATATTGGTGGAGATCCACTTACCTCTGCTGGCTATTCAGTGGTGGAATAATTCATAACACCTGCTCAAATTTATTCCTGCTCCAATTCCAAGGGAGGAAGGCAGATGATAAACAATTCGAATACGTAGCTGGGGGTGGGAAGTCAGGGAAGCTTCCAGGAGCGGTCATCTCTAGCCTAAGACCCACAGAGCCATTAGGTAGGTACTTCAGCTCATTTACATACATCACAGATATTTAGAACATTCCTCAATCAAGGATTCATTTGTTCACTCACCCAATATTTATTAAATGCCTGTCATGAGCATAGTTGGCAAGAGCTAGGAATACATCATTAACATGGGGAGGTCTTAGAGGAAAACAGAGATGTAAATTATCACTTATTTTATCACAGCTCTGCTAAGAGTATAATGAGGAAAATGTAGGGAGATGTTGCACATGTATTTGGGGTGTCTGAGCTGAGTCTCCCAGCAACCACTGGCCAGGTCTGTGTAGACCAGTATTGAGGCTCATACACATACCCTATGCACACACTTGCAAGTACACAAGTGTTTGTACATGTCATTGCCTTCAGCTGGCTCTGGTTAGTGAGTGAGTGCATGTGTGGGGTGGGAGGGGGCATGGATGGTTGATAGTGTATGTGTGAGCAGATGTGCTTAACTAAATGGCTCTATGGGTCTTAGCTTGGATACCAGCTACACCCAGTGTTCATGTCCAGAACTTCTCTAGACCTTTCTCACACTTCCTTCCTGGGCCAGAAATGGACACTTTCTTCTGGGAAGCGTTATGACCCATCCTCCCTCTCCAGAAAACATGCAGCTTATTTGATGGAAGAGAAAAGTTAGGAGTCTTTGGAGGCCCTGAGCCCTGAGACACTGAACTCTGCTGCCATCTAGGCTGCCCTTGGGACCAGGGACATTTTCAAGGAGCAGGAACTTGGGAGAAGAAATGACAGGGATCTGGGAAAGTGAGTCTGGCCAGCAGCATGGCCTCTGTGTGTGCGTGTGTGTGAGCTCTTGATGTCCCCGCAGGCACCCTCTTTTCCCGCTCCTGACGCTGCTGTTTGAGAAATGTGAACAGGCCACCCAGGGCTCTGAGTGCATCACCTCCGCCGGCTTTGATGTGGACATCGAGAACTTTGTCCACCAGCAGGAGCAGGAGCACAAACCCTTCTTCAGCGATGACCCAGAACTGGACAATCTGGTAAAGACCCTCCATCCCACACCCTAGCCAGAGTCTTCCTCCCCTCTGATCCCTTTGAAATGCCCTAGAAATGTTCTTTGAATTAATTCATCCAACAAAAAGATTTGAGTACCCAATGTGGAGAAGGTTCCAGATGCACCTTCTAGTGCCTTTTAAATTTATAAACCAAGAGTTCTGGGCACATGTGCTGCTAGAGTTCCTCCTGTCGCTACCCAAGGTGGCACCAGACCTGACTGCCCACCACTCTGCAATTCAGGCAAATGGAAAGAAGGACATAGAAGCCAGAATGTCTAAGATGGCTGTTCCAAGGCCTGGACTTCTGGAACATTAACAAACCTGTCTGGGCCTTCCCAGGGCAGAGCTGATGGCTCCCATGCCACCATATGGAGGATTCGAGATATCAGCATGTGTGAGCAGATCAATAGAGAGACCTGGGGACGCAGTCATGCTGGGAACATCAGCAGAGGCCCTGTTCGTGTAGTGAACACAGCAGATCAGGCTCCCAAACAGTTTGCCATGCCGGTTATCACCACAGCATATAAACTGGCCTCTCCTGGGCTGCGCCAGGAAATTGTGACTCAGTTGGTTACAAGTAACCTGGACCGCTGCAGTCATTGGTTGGACTTGGTGACTCCTGGGTTGGATGACACCTGAAATTCTGGGAGTTCTGCTGCAGTATGGTACTAGAGAGGTGGCTCTGTATGTCCATGACTCTAACAGTCCTCCTGAAATCATTAACTATGGTTCCTTATTTTTCTATGTGGGTGGATTACCCAGATTACGTACAGTGAATTTGGAAGCTGTGAAACTCTTCCCTTACACACTAACTGGTGACAGTGCTGGCCTCTTGCAGCCAGAGTTGGGCTGGTGTCTGTTCCCAAAAAGAGAACAGAATTAGAAAAGCAAATGTGACCGGGAAAAGGAAGAAAAATTACACACACCTGTGTGCACGCGCACACACACGGTGCATCTGCAGAGCAGATGTGAGCGACTGGGTGTTGCTCTGTGCTATGGATTAGCCACACTGCTGCTCCATCGGAGCTGAATGCACTACTTTATGGAGGGCAGGAGCGCTCCGAGGAGAACCCTGAAGTCTGCAGAGTGCGGGTGGAGCCGTTCTTTGGAGAATGGGCCTCCATCTCTGCCCAGTGTGAGCACTTGCTTGTGCTAGCAGCCCCGGTGGGGGCATCGGAGCCCCCACTTCTGCCTCTGCTCAGCCCTGGCCTTCCAGACCGTCTTCCCAGGAGGCTAAACCTCTGCCTCTGGGATGCCCAGGCGGCTTCCCTGTGCAAGTCCTCCAGGTCAGCTGAGAAATGCAGACTGGCCTGGCCCTGCCCTGCCCTTTGGCTGATCAAAGTGCAGTTGGAAAGTAGATCCTGAGACCACCCCCCCAGGCCCAGGCAGCTGTGGGGGAGGACACGAGGGACCTGTTGCTGTGGGGATGGGCATGGAGCTGAGAGTGGGGGGCAGGGCTCACTCACTCGCTTATCGTGAAGAGAAACTGAGGCCTAAAATAAGACTGAGGGATGTTAAACCTTCTTATGATGTAAGAGTCCTGGAGAAGCAAACCTCACATTCCTTGTCCCCACACTGCCTTCCCAGGGAGCTGTGGAAGACCCACCAAAGACAGCCTCCTGTTCTAGCACAGCTGGAAGATTCAAAAAGTACCAGGTCCATGCCCTTGACACCTCTGACCAGATCTCTCATGATTCTGTTCAAAGAACCAAGTTGGGCATGGTGGTGCGTGTCTGTAATTCCGGGCTGAGGCAGGAGGGCTGCCACAAATTCGAAGTTAGCCTAGGCCATAAAGTGAGAGGGACCCTTTCCCCAACCCCCCAAAAAATCCACACAAAGATCCAGATTTCCTAATTCAATCCAAGGAAACTAGGTTGAATAGACTACGGTGTGCCATTCCGAGCTGGGGACAGGGGTGTTACAGGAGCTGCCCTAGTGACCTCAGACCTCTGCTGTCCCTGGTCTTCTATTTCAGTGACCAGGCTGGGCATGGTCCACTCAGTGGGGCAATCCTTAGTCCATTTGCTGGTGTGTTAACTATAGTCAGTGACTAGCTAATTATTGATTGATTAAGTGATTGATTGATTATGAAAATGGAGAGATTTGAAAGAACCCTTAAAGACAAAAGATCTGAGTCTTGGGTCACTATTTACTATCTGTGTGACTTGGGAGACCAAGCGCCTTTGAAGCTCGGTTTCCTCATCTGTAGAGCTAATGCACTTATTCTGCGTGATTGTAATAAAAATTTAATGAATTGGCTGACGGGATTGGCCTTTAAAGGTGTCTCCCATCCCGAAGATTAATCTCAAAGGCAATATCACTGCACCAGGCAAGGTGTTCCAGCTCCCCAGCCTCCTGCCTGCCACCAGGGCCTGTGTGATTGGGACCCTGAAATCTCTTTGGGGGAGTGGAGCAGTGCCCTTTGCCACCCCTGGGGTGGCCCTGTGTAGGGCAGAGAGATGAAGAGGCCAAGCGTAGGAGCCATCATTAAAACAAGAATCATGTCGCCAGCACAGCCGAGATGCACATAATTAGAAATTAGAAAAAGGTCAGATCGCGTTATTACCAGCTCAATCAGCTGCCAAGTGCCACAGCCAGTTAATTTGGCATCTGTATTTTTTACAACCCCGCACACGTAGCCCAACGGACTGTAACTCTTTATCCGGACAGATATACTGCGAAGCCGAGCAGGGATATAAAATGAGGGACCCCAAGCAAATGAGCTGAGATAATTGAGAGATTTATTTTTTATATATATGCATGTCAGGGTGGCTTTCCTTTGCCCTTGAATATTGACTTTCATAGATGGGATTGTCAGGAGGGCACTTGGGTCCCCAAAAACTTAGCCCCAGAGAAGGTCTCTTCCTGCTTCTCCTCCTCTTCCTGGTCCTATGCTCCCTGCCCCACCCTCAAGCCCCATGCTGGCCTGCCTGCTGTCTTCACCCTTTGGACAGCATCCTGCCCATCTCCTGCCCATGCCCAGCTGGCCCCCCAACTCTTTGCCATGCATGAAGCTTGTTGGACCCTCCCATGACCCTGCAGTCTCCTTGAGCTGCTTTTCTAGAAAACTCCCTTTGAAAAAGTGCTCCTCCAAAGCTGCCTCAAGATAGGAGCGAGCTCAGATGCAGATTTCTGAGGGGCTTCCCTCCCCTCTGAGCCTCCGCCCCCTGTTCCCCAGCAGCCCTGATGATGGGAAGGAAGTCCTAGGATCCTCAGGAAAAGCAAGTTACCCCCTTTCACAGGCAGGAGCACTGACATCCAGAGGAATGACTCCTCAGGACCAGGAAGAACCCAGGGCTCCTGCCTCTGTGCTCCTTCTGCTGTCATTCTGCCCTGGTGGCAATAGAGTCCTCACAAATAGGACAGTGCAACCAGTGATGTCCCCCACACGCTGACTCCCCCAGCCCATCACCATGCCCTGGCGGCAGCTATCCATGACCATCAATCCCACGGAGCTCCCCGAGCTCCCTGGGAAGAAGCCCCTGTTCCCATGCCCCCTGCAGTGCTCACCAGTCCTATTTCTTACCTGGCCCCTTCGACCCTCTCCTTGAGCCCAGCAGCCTCTGACTGGCAGTTGGTAAAGTTTGTAAAATTTGCAAGTTCCCCAAACCCCTTTGAAACGTAAAAGCTTTTTGTTTTATAATATCTGATTTACAGGCCCCTGGTGCAGGACCAAGGTTTTATATATTATGCAAGATTTCAAACTAAGGCTGTAAAACGTACGGTTTCAGTTTCATGCATGGAATTTTTTTATGTGTAAATTTTTTAACATTTATGGGGCACGTTTTAATGAGACTCTGGTGTGGCTCGAGGGACAGATTACAGCTGCCTGACCACAAAGCCAGCTCTAAAATGGGGGCCCCTGGGCCGGGTCTGAAGAGGCAGGCCAAAGGCCGGAAGCTGTGAGTGAGGAGGACCACGAAGGAGGTGGACCCAGGCGCTGTGCCCACCGGGACCTCAGCCCAGCCCAGCCCAGCCCAGTTCCCCAATCACTTTCTCCAGCCCACAGTCCAGGCTCTCTGCCTAGATAGGAGCAGAAGATCTCACAGAGACCATCAAAGGGAAAGGAAATAAGAATAATCAGTGCTGGTAATAGCATTTATAGAGTACTTACCGAGTACTCTTCCAAACACTTCACATCCATTGTTCAAGCTTCTTTCTAAACCCACAAGGTGGTATTAATGTTATCCTCATTTCCACATGGTTTGATCCCCAGCACTGGAAGAAGGAAAAAGAGAGAGGAAGGAGGAAGACAGAGAGAGAGAGAGAGAGAGAGAGAGAGAGAGAGAGAGAGAGACAGAGAGAGAGAGAGACAGAGAGAGAGAGAGAGACAGAGAGAGAGAGAGACAGAGAGAGACAGAGAGAGAGATTTCCATTTTAAGAGGTGAAATCATTAGCACAAATTGAGCTAGGATGGGGCTGAGATAGAGTGAAGCTCTAACTAAGCTACACTAACCTGTTACACACCACCTGCAGCTAATCTCTTCCTACACATGCCCAGGAGCTTTAGTTTGTTTTAACCAGGTCTTGTTGAATCCTCAGCACAACTCTCAGAGAATCACTACCACTGGGTGCTAGTAATAGAATCCAGGACCTTCCACTGTGTGCAGGTCCTCCTCCACTGAACTGGGCCCCTGGCCCATGGGAGCCTCTTTTATTCTCCTCTTTACAGATGAGGAAACTGTTCAAGATCACAACTTGGGGAGCAGGGATGGCTCAGCCTCTGAAGCCCATTGTCCTTGAGTACCCTACTTGCTATTTAATTATTACAATGGCCCTATGAAATACCCATCATCTCCATTTATCAGGGGAGGATTAAGGCCAGGGACCTTACAGCCAGTAAGTTATACAATTGAGGCTTGGCCCAGCCTCTGTCTCTGGGCCCCATCTGCTTCTCCAGATTCTGAAGTCCCTAAAGCAGAAGTGCTAGGGCCCTGACTCAAAGTGATTTAACTTGTCATACATGCTAGTTTCCATAGAATGTG